ATGATCTCTCACCCTTCCTTTCAGCTGCATAGACTGCTGTATTTGCTTTAGAATACCATTCTTCTTTTTCCCGTCCTAGTTGCTTGTCGACTTTCAGAATTCATCTATGGTACAACCTCTCTTTAACTTTTTCAGTCCATCTTAGATGCTCCCAAGATACTGTGCTCATTGTATTACAGTGTACTGTGATCATCACTTTCGTTGAATGAAAGAAAAATAATCTTTAGCAATATGGAAGTGGTTTTTTTGTTTGTTTTTGATTAGTGTAGTCTAGATTCAGTTGTTTATTGTGTCATTTACTAGCCAAAAGACCTTTATTAAATTACTTAACCTTTCTAATTGTTTTTGTATTCTAATTCTACCTATCTCATAGGATTGTTTTGAGGTTTACATGAAATAATTGATGCAAAACACTTAGCACATTGTCAGGAACATACAGTAAGTGTTGACATTCAGTAAATATTATCTATTATTAATTATTATGCCGATGGGGGCAGTGGTGGTTCAGTGGTCAAATTCTCCCCTTCCATATGGGAGACCTGGGTTTGATTCCTGACCAGTGCACCTCAAGTGTAGCCACCACCCATTTGTCAGTGGAGGTTTGCGTGTTGATATGATGCTGAGCAGGTTTCAGCAGTGCTTCCAAACTAAGACTAGGAAGAAAGGCCTGGTGATCTACTTCCAAAAATCAACCAGTGAAAACCCTGTGAATTACAGTTGTCCGATCCACAACCAATCATAGGGATGACACAGGACTGGGCAGCATTTCGTTCCATTGTACACGAGGTCCTCATGAGTCGGAGGCCAACTCGACAGCAGCTAACAACAACACTATTGTGCTGATAGTAATTTGACAATTGAATGAGCTGCCTTGTGATGGAAATTTCTGTATCACCATAGGTATTCCCTTAGTGAGTAGAAGTATATCTACCCTAGTGCAATACAAGGTCTCACATAAGATAGGGAATTGGATTTGCTATCATCCTATCCCAAGTCTATGACATCCTCCTCTATCAAAATCATTTCAAAGCTTTCCTTAAATACCATTTTTAAGGCAGCATCATAGACAAAAGTAGCCTATCCCTCTTGAATACTTTCATAACAGTTTATAATATGCTACTTATCACACTGCTTCTTATGGTACGCATTTATAGTCATAAAATGGGAACTTAGATAATCACCTAGCACGTTGTGTTACACAGAATAAGCACTTAGTAAATGGTAACCTCCCCCCTTCCTTCACCTTTTATTTGAACTTCATTCATAGGCATTGAAAAGATATTGATAGTTTTTGAGGCCATAGGTGATTTCATCAAAGCAGTGATTTAAAAAGATTAATATAACAGTTGCAGGATGGATTGGAAGGGGAAAGCCCAAAGACAAAGTTAATGAGCTGATTCAATAATACTTCATTCATCGCTTTCCAATTAACATTTAGGAAGGAATGTGGTATGGAAAGAGCTTAGGTTTTGTAGCTAAGTGCTCTGTAGCAGTTCATAATTTTTCCAGGGGAACAGAGAATTGCTAGTTGAGAAAAAAATGTTTTATGTTTTTTCTCCCCTTACTTCATCTTTCTACAGATTGTTGCACATGTAGGATTAAAAGATGTAAATGAGGGAATGCTGTCATTTTTAACATATATAACAAAAAACTTGTTGTCGTCAACTTGATTCTGACTCATAGCAACACCATAGGACAGAGTAGAACTGCCCCATAGGGTTTCCAAGGAGCACAGCTGGCTGGTAGATTCAAACTGCCGACCTTTTGGTTAGCAGCCGAGCTCTTAACCACTGCACCACCAGGGCTCCTTTAACATACATAGGAATCAATAAATCTAGGGACTTAGTGAATACCTTTGTGTCTCCCCTGCTCTCATATGCATTATTTGATTTGATTTTTCACAGTAACTCTGTGGTAAATGTTGTTGTTCTCATTTAATAGATTAGAAGAATGAAACTCACAGGTTAAATCATTACTGGCAGAGGCAAAAAAGGACAGGTTTTAGACCCACTGCTGCCATGGAGTAAATGCATGTATTCGTCTCTGTCACGCATTTAGTATCCACAGATTATCAGCATATATCCACTTGAGCCTCAGTGTCTCTATATACACACTCTCACCCATCCTGTAGAAAAAGAGAAAAAGGCAAATCACTGTCTGTATAAATTCTAGTTATAGATGGTGATCTTCATGCTCCTAATTCCTCAGTGATTAGCTACTGGTTTTACATTCACCCCAAGCTTCATATCAAAATTACCAGCATGAAGTAAACCTGACCATCAATTCTCTAGCCAAGAGATTCTCAGACTTTGATGAGCATACAGATCACCTAGGGATCTTGTTAAAAGGAAGATTGTAGTTCAGTAGGAGTGGGGTGGGACCTGTGCTTCTGCATTTCTGACTGCTCCCAGGGGATGCCAGTGCCGCTTGTCTGTAAACTACACCATTGAAGAATTTGTTGTTGTTGTTCCAAATACATACTATGTAAAGCTGCAGTTACACTGTACACACTATTTGTGTTCTGCACTTTTTTAATTTTACCTCTGCCTCTGTTTTCATAATTATGGTTTTTAATTGCTGTATAAACCATACAGTTGATATAACATTATTAGGAATTTACATCTGTTCTCAGTTATTTTGCCATTCTAGATTATGTTTCATTAAATTCCTCTGGGCATATAACTTTTTGCTGTTTAAGTATTTCTTGAAGATAAATTTCCAGGAGTAATTATCAGGTCAAGGAGTAAGACTATCTTTGTCTTTTGTTGCATTAATACCATTTGACCTTTTAGAACGAATGACCAAATTGCAGTGCCATGAACATGTGTTTACCTCATTTGTACCAGTATTGAGTGTCTTATGTTAAAATTTTTGCTAAATTAGAATATGGTCTAGAATGATTCTTTACAGTTGCCTTAATTTTCATTTTTATTTCTATCAATGTTGAAATGTGAACATTTGCCCTGTTATTAATGCTTGCATTTCCTCTTATGTAAAACGTGCATTCATATTGTTAACCCATGTTTCCATTAGAACATTGATAATTTTCTTGAAATTTAAAAGTCATTTATATATAGTATATTATTATATTTGAAGTAAATATTTCTCATAGTCTTTGTTGTCTTTTTAATTCAGATTTAAGAAATGAGTAACTATGATTTTATATCCTACAGGTGAACTATGGGAAAGTTTGTAATGATAGTAGAAAAGGATTGAAATTCACCGTCTCCTGTGGCTGTAGTTCAGAATTTGTTTTTGTACCATATGGTAGCACCATTGCTATTTATACAGTTTACTCTGGAGAACAGATAACTATGCTTAAGGGACATTATAAAAGTGTTGACTGCTGTGTATTTCAGTCTCATTTCCAGGTAAGAATGATACATAAGGAATATTAAATTATTCAGGTGGCTAGCTTGCCAGACTATTTGTATATAAAAGAGTAAATTGTGATTTCATCCTGAGGAATTACAATTTTAATGTACATTTGAGCTAGGGTTTATTTAATATAATACAGGATAGATTTTTAGATGGCATAAGGATTGTGAATCAATATAATACTGTGCAACTTGACTGGGATAAATTTTCTTTTGCATGTGGGCTCCATTTATTTAGCAACTTAAATCTCTGGCAAATGAAAATATTTTCTTACAGTCTTTTGGGAGAAAATAGAATTATACGTGTCTAATCTCAAGACATAGGGTCACTAGGAATCAGAATCGACTCGATGGCACACAACAACAGCAATCTCAAGATATAGTTTGTGTATCTTGCTTTATATATGTATGGGTGTGTCTAAAATTTTGCTTATTTCTTCCTTATTTTCTGCTGATGGCTAAAAAAGGTTTGCTTTTAAGATAATGCAACTTACGTAATTTCTTAAATACTCATGGCTATTATTTGTTCTTTAACATCCTGGCCTTTTTCTTCCATCTCACCAATGGAGCAGATTTTTTTTTTCCAGAAAACATTTGCAGAAGTTACCTTACGTGCCCCTTTAAATGAGTCTTTGAAATAGCAAATAGTGGTTTCTCTGTTTTATAGGTAAGGAAAGTTAGGCTCATGAAAGCTAAATAGAGATAAAATTACGAGTATTGCAGCTAGCAGGGACTTTATCACTTGGCAAAGCTCTTATTTATTTATTAACACTGATTTCTTAATTTGTGTCCAGCACTGTACTATAAGAGACACAAGACTGATTTTTCAGCTAGTGCACACAAGTATGGCAGTATCCATTATTAAAATACTGACATACATATCTTACTGGCTGATAAATAGCCGCTGTGCCAAGTCCCCTAAGTGATCTCCTCTAGCCTCAGTCCCTTCTTTTGGACCTCCTGGGCCTTACCTGAACCTAGTAACTAGGAGACCTCCAGGACTCTGTTCCAACTCTGTGGCCAGTATTTCTTCTGATTGGTCAGTGTCCTATGTACCATTTGTTAAATCTCTTTAGTATTACTTCTGGGAGAAGGAAACTAAAGCACCAGAGAGGTGCTGTACTTGCTTCAAACCTACAAGTAGTTATTGACAGACCATGATTCTTTATGTAGAGAAAATTTTAGAATACTATGCCTCTTTTCTTGTCTAGAGTCACTTACAGACATAGCCAAGATCTGAACCCAGGTATTCTGACTACAGATTAGTCTGTTCCACCAAGTCAGAGTTTCCTAAGAACTGTTCTGTGCCCAGTATGAATTATACATATGACAAGACAATGATTCCCCACAGTTCCTGGAATAGCTGGGGCAGACCTGGGACAGCCAGAGACCTAGAGCCAGTTGCCTCCTGACAAATAACCATTTTCTGTGTGTGTTGTGAACTCAAAAAGGTTTGAATTACTGAAGCATTACATCTGATATAGAAGCACTATGTCAAAAAGCCTCTGACTCTTTTATCCTATCTCATCTATTATGATTTCTATAAAGGAAAATAATTATAAATCTCAAAATTAAAAAAGGTAGTACTTTTGCATCCATTCAGCAGCACAACTCTTTTCCAAATTAAATACTACACAAAACTCACTCAAATAAAATTGACATATATATTAACTCTATCATAAATGTAAAAATCAGACAAGTTTCACTGAAAACTTACATGTGCTGAAACTATCCATGCATGATGTTATTAGCTGTTTTATTGTGCAGCTGCCTGTTACACTGTGACCAATAAACCATAAACCAATCATGTGAGGCTGAACTTTGGTGTCTTTTGATTGACTGCAATATACATATTCTGAAATAACTCAGTAGCTACTTCACATTTACATGAGGATATATGGAAGGCATTGATTTTTTTAATAGAGTGTAGCCTTAATCAAAAATCCAGCTACAAGAAATTAAAATACATAGAAAAATTTTACTTTGAGCCCTGCCAAAAGCAAGTAAAAGTATCAGTAGTCTTTTTATTTGTTCATTTTTGCTATATAATTTGTTTGCATGCAGCCTATTTTTTGCTATATTTTTAAGTAGTTAAAAATGTTAAATTAAAATCAAATTTTGCATAATCCTAGCGTTCCTCAGAATACAGTTTGTTAACAATTCCACTGATGTGTACATATAGGTCTTAGCAGAAATATTTTGTAAAGATTTGGTTTTATATCTTAGCCCCAGGTATTTTTGGGAATGTTTTCACATCACAGTAAAAATAATTCACCTACCCACTTTATATCTAAAATATTAAATGTTACTTTGTATTAGTTAAAATACGCAGTCTTAAATTTCAAGCTGTTTTCCCTGAACCTATAGTGAGGAGCTAGGGACATTATACTGGAGGGCATGTTTTAGTGGGAAGCAAGTCGTTAGCAGTCAGGTGTTATCTGTTTCATTTATTTCTGTTCCTCATAAGAAATTTTTTAAAAAGATTGCAATACTGAAAAAAAAAGGTGGTGGGAGGGGGGAGAATTCCATTACTGAAAAAATTTAAAAACTCAGTGTCACAGGTTCAACTTATACCTCCTAATACTCAAATTGATGAGGTTATTGTGGTTTAATTCTGAAATACCAGACTTGTAAAATAAATTATCACTGCATGTAATTCAATCACAATAGATACATATTTGGCAGTTAATTTAGGCTTTTCTTCTGTTTTAATAAAAGTAATGCTATGTCATTTTTTTAGTCTGTTGCTTACCCATCCCCTTCTCTTCTCTTTCCTTCCTGACCAATTCAGTCCAAAGGTCTTTGGGTGAGGTCAAGCAAAGTAGATGCCCATGCAGGTTTGGGAGGGGGTGCTGAGGTGGCCCAGCATGTGGCATCAGAGCCCAAGGTGGTAAGGAGGGCATCTCCAAGAGTGGGCAGCCTGGTTCAGTGTCACAGTTCACACATGTTGAAGAGCACTTTCACGTGAGAAGGCAGCCCAGTACAGTGTTAGAGCACAAGCAGGGTGGAGGAAATCTACCCTTACAGTAAAAGGATAAGGGGACTGGATTGTGGTGATGGGAGATTGGTTATATACAGGGGGGCTGATCAAATAAACAGATGTATTAAGGATAATGGGAGCCAGGTTTTTCATTCTCAGAGAAAACCAACCAAAGCCATTGCTCTTGACTCAATTCTGACTCATAGCAACTCTGTAGGACAGAGTAGAACTGCCCCATAGGGTTTCCAAGGAGCA